ACCAAAAGAAGCAGCAGCAGCAGCAGCAGCAGCGGAGCATCATGGACGTTCTGAAGAAGGGCTTCTCCATCGCCAAGGACGGCGTGGTGGCCGCCGCAGAGAAGACCAAAGCCGGCGTGGAGGAGGCCGCCGCCAAGACCAAGGAGGGGGTCATGTATGTCGGTGAGTTGGCAAAGGCCAAATGTTGCTTCATGACGACGATAGCAAATGAGTGCATTTTGTTTCAAAGAATGGGGGGGTTAGGGGAATATTTCATCTGATGTGATCAGAGAAAATGAAGCTTCCCTAAATGGAATGAATTATTTGTTAGTGGGTGAAGCTCATAGGGAGCGAGGGATGAGCGGTGGGGGCAGAAAGGGCGACGTTAAAAATTAAAATGCAAACCACAGAGATGCGGGGTCATGCAGACGACGTGGTGGAAGGTTGAGAACTGGACGGAGGGGGAGGGAGAGGAGGTGGCGGGGGAGCATGTTTGGAGAGGAAGTCCAGACGGCGTTCAGGGTGTGGCCCAGGACAGATTGAGTTGTTGCAAAGTAGAAAGAGAACACAAAAACCTAATTGAGATGCGACTCGGTCGGAAAGGAAAAAACAGACTACGGCGTTCCCCGCTAGACGGGCCATCATTTGTGCCGCCGCTATCGATATCGAGGATTTTGAAGCGGGGAAAAAAAGTCTTGTTTTCCATCCCTTCATTCACAAAAAAATCAAATGGAAATTGCAGAAAATGCACAAGCATCAATGAATGAGGATTCAGTTCCTGGTTGCATCCGTCAGAAAATCGGGAACATTGTTGATCATTGTTTTTGTCAAATAAAAGCAGAGGTTGCAAAGGTTGATTTTTGTCAAAATTCACGCAAAATGACTCCCGAGAAATCATGGCGGTTTACTGCTCAGCAGTTTTGTGCCATCTTTGAATGGGGACTTTGATGCAAGAGAGCACTTTGCAGCGGGAAGAAGGAAAAACAAAACCACACTAATTGTTTGCTTCGAAGCATGTGTCGTTGAAGAGTGGATCTTTTATCTATGCAAATGAGCGGTCAAATATCTGGAGATCGTCTTCTATTCTTTGTTTCTGCACATTTTGTCTTGATTTCAAATGGCATTTTCGTTCCGCACATCTGGTTAGGATGTGCGGACTGCGGGCCCCTACGCAGCTTAAGTTGCCCATTTCATAGTTGGAGATACGAGCGTGGTCAAGGAACCAATTCCACTTTGATCGAACCGTGTTGAAGTGAGACGAGTGGTTCCAAACCGACGCTTTGCCGCCCTCTTGTGGCATCTATAGGCAATGCACCTTTTTAAGAGGAGGGCGTTAATTTCACTGAAAACAATTTCCTCCACTGCACGTTGTCAAGTGGTTGCATGAAATCACATCCTCTGCATCCGGATTGCGCGGTCGCCCTGTTTGTTTCATAAAAACTTGCCAAGTCAATCATATTCAATTCCACACATGCACGCTCATCATGTCCTTCATGTGTTATTTCCAGGAAACAAGACGATGGAGGGCGTGGTGACCGGCGTCAATACAGGTACCAAAACCGAAGCACTCACACCATCGCAACAGTGACATTGAGGAAAATATTTGAAACTATTGTGACACCTCAAATTACAAAAGGCCTTTTGATGGCAAAATCTGAGATGCACCGGCAGTGATGCTGACTCAGCGCGTGACCTGACTTGAATGTCAGTGGCTTTTTTTTACATGATGTTTGCCATTCACACCATGAATGGCATCATATGTTCTTGCAATCGTGACACACTTGCCCCTACGTACCATGACACATACTCTTGTTTAATTTCATATACAAACATACTCCGTTTGAGTGTCAGGTGCCTAAACTTGTCCGACTTGCAACGGGTCAGCATTTCTCACCCTCGTAATTACCGTGGCATGCCGAGATTCAACCTCCGAATCTTCATCTTCCCCTCAAAAGCCGTGCTGACTGCAAATCCAAAGCCACCCAACATCGCCATCTACAGGGATCTGTTAGTCATTACATTATAGAGAAGCTAGGCGAGACCGTCTTCCACACCTACTTGTTGAAAAAAAATGCACTCGATAACAATATTGATCGGCTGCAGTAAATGGTTGCGTTCCGGTTGCCGTCCACGAGAGCAAATGAGTTTAGGCCGTCACTGCATTCAAACAGCACTACAAAATGGCCACCGCACTAGATAGTGCACAAGAGAGTGTCGAGGGCAGGGATGGGTAACTCCCGTCCTCGAAAGCCACTATCGTGCATGTTTTCAGGATCAGATTTCTGCAGAACTTGCCGATGGTCTCGGGAGTGGTTCCCAAAACAGCTTATGACACGCTGACATCCCAGTTTCCTTCCAGTGTCCCAGAAGACAACCGAGCAGGCCAACATCGTGGCCGACGCCGCCGTCACCGGGGCCAACGAGGTCGCCCAGGCCACAGTGGATAGCGTGGAGAACGCCGCCTTATCCTCCGGATTCGTCACTGTGGTGAGCCATGACAGCTTCTGGCAGTCTTGGCACTTTATTCTCCCCCGCCCCAAAAATAGAACATTTGAATTTTTTTCTCTCGAGTGAACTAGGGGCTGAACCAATTACTCGACTGAACTGCATTGCATTCTAAGTCGTCGAATCAGAAATGATGCGATTTCGGCAACTTGTCGGACTTTCAATTTGCCTGTCTGCTTCTCGCCGGACTATAAATGTCCAACCCAGCGAGGCCACACGGTTGATGAAAATGAGCTGGCGGTGGCTAGCTTCGGTTATTCAGATTCCCATGTCGTAAGATTTTTGTTGTCGTAAGATGTTTTTCAGCATTCATGACTTACAATAAAACAACTCTTCATAACTCTAAAACTAGCGACAGGATAAGTTATGTGACAGTGCTGAAACAGAGAACAACGAATTGCTTTGTTCAGGATGAGTCACGGTTATGAATATACAGTAAACGTAGGCGGAACAAGATGGCAGCGGTCATGTGACCTGTGTGATGTCTTTCTCCTGCAGACTGATGCTCCAAAAACAGACGACGGAGGAGAACAGACCCAACAAGCTGCTCAGTAGGTGAGTAGACAGATGTCGTGTTAACATTTCATTAGTTTCATCGTGTCATTGCCAATGTCATTTTTTAACTGTCACAATTGCAATAAAATTAAATATATATATTTTTTAAAAGGCAGTGTGCTTGCAGGAAATTTACATGTTTTCAATTACGCTGTTAGGTTAACACTTCATGCTAGTTTTGAAAATAAAGTATTTATTCATTGATTGTTCAATTGACGTTTCAACTCTTCTAGTGTCAACACTCACTTCCTGTTTGTGCCCGTCCAATGAGGAGAAAGAAGACCGATTCCCGCCTTTCCTCGCGTGTTGTCTTGGCGCCACTTCTTCCGCTTTTCGCCCTCTTCCCACACAACTCTCGGCTGATTGGTCGGCGTGTAGAGTGACGTCACTCTGGCCCAATGTGCCGCCCCAAGCGTCCAATCACAGGGCTGGAAGTCAGAAACACATCCGATGCCTTTCGCCGTGCATGTAGCTTTGCCAAGAAACACGCGCGCCTGCTCATACATACACACGCACATACACACACAACCACGAAAGAATCACTACACACTTATCTCCAGTCTGTGTCGCTGTTATTAACTGAGCTTCAGTGCTACTTTCTTTTATAAAACAATACAAATGAAATAAACGTACCTTTAACATCCGTCCGACTGTGCCGATTTTATTCGCAATTCTCTATTGTTACAAACGTACCGAATGACACGACTCCCATAAATTTTTCTATGATAAAACAAAGGAGCGATCCTCGAGATGGTAAAGGCAACGGGCTAGTGTAAATAAAGTGTGCATCCACGCGGCAGCTTAAGCGTTTGAGCCACGGACACTTCAACGAAAAACACATCGGGAGAACAAAATACAACTCACAGACGTTGCCTATCGTTTGTGACGAATGGCTTGACGTTGCTGTTGAGAAGTTGCAACGTTTCTGTGTTCGTAGTGTTTGCTATACTGCCCCCAAGTGGCCAAGGCACCCACGCCAGATGGAGCCGCACTATACCAATTGAAGCCCACATTTTTGCAAAAACGTCCGTTCTTGACGTTCCAGGTCGTGACATTTTTATGTACAATATTATAGCGTGCTGTTTTCATTGTAAAAGAAAAAGTGAAACCAAAAAACACACAAAAAAATAATGTGAATGATAATTTTGATCAGACATGATGCTTGCAGCAAATGTTCGACTTTATTCCACTTGCAGCAGAAATCATTCTTGGCGTGTGAGAAATCATTCCAGGTGAGATGAACTCTTAACTTTATTTGGCTCTAGCTTGTCCTTTCTTGCTTCCTTCATTCCACCCTTCCTTCCTTCCTTCAGGCGGCACAAACGCAAAAAAAAAAAGGGTGGCAACAAACAAGGGGCATGCACACGCATTCACGCGAGTAGAAAATGCTTGAAAAAGTGGACGTGCGACTGCGACACTCGCACAGTGTGTTTAAGGCACCATTATGCTACGGTACATTTGCACACTTGGCAACCCCCCGCCTCCCACCTCTATGTTGTCCACTTCATGGGGTTCATTCAGGCTTTGGAGCAACAGACAAACGTGACAAAGTACACCCACCATTAATTCATTCAACTGTTGGTGTCCTTGCATTTTTTCTCCAAGCGGAAAAACACAAAAAACATTTTGTCCAACGTTGTCGTATCCACTCAAAAATAAAGAAAAGCAAACGCCATTCCAAGAAACTTTGCTGGATGCTTTAGAAAACAAAATACATCAAATAAAACTCTGATTAAATAATTTCACTTTTGTTAAGCACCAAATGAAAGAGTGGCCCTAGAAAAATAAATAGCACGAGTTCCAAAAGAAAAACTGCATGAAATTTAAGGAGACACACCGGTGGGCAGCTTTCATTGCAGCACTATCTGTGTGCGATGGCGTGTGCTGAGTTCAGGTGTCTGCAAAAGGGTAGGACAGCATGTGGTTAGTGCAGGGATCTGTACTCATGAAGTGCAGTTGAGGTGTCCAGTAAAAATGCAGATGAGTATGACGTTGGTTTCTTCGGGGTTTTGGCGGAGTGGAGGCCAATCTGTGTTGAGTTCAGGGGTCTTGTGGCTAGTCTGGGCAGAAAACAAAAAACTACCGGGCTGAGAATTTTTTCCCTCCAAACAGAATTAAAACATGTGCTGTAAAAAAAAAGAATTAGATTGAATGCTTGATTTTCAATTTGTTTTCCCATGACTTATCTAATGTTGAAGGCTCATTGTGTGTGCGCGTGAGTAAATCGCTCATGGAAAAGTGAAGCTGTATAAAAGCTTGTCAAAACCTCCTAAAAGCAAAGTACTGTATTGCAGAGATGTTTTGGGGGGTTTGTTTTTGCACACGTGTGTGTATAAGTGATGATCATCTGATGTGTGCGTGTGCAAGTCGTTGCCCGGTTACACATTGATAGCGTGAGCATGCTTCTTGCACAGAGGTTTGTCTTTCTTGGAGTAGAAGGGCTGGCCCTCCAGGTTCACGTGACACACCTGAAACAACAACACAGGCAACGGACATTGTACATTGATGAAGGCAAATGTTCAATCAGGATCCGAACTAAGCTTTTTCTTTTTTTTTGTTTTTGACCCAACATATTTTGTTGAAATTAGAGCTGACAGAGAATAGGACGTATTTGTTCAATGAAATTGTTTTTCGTCCAAACAGTTTATTGTTTTCATTTGGTAAAGTTTCTCTTGGCTGCACTCCTTCAGTTGTGTCTATGTGGATGACAGATCGATCGCCCTCCCACGCCCTCTCAATCAGATTTCAGCCCCTACGAGTTGCCATGTCAATCTTCACAAGTAGTTCTGTTGTGCCCACAAAACTTCAAGAAATATTTTGCCTGCGTCGAGCCATTGCAGTATGGTGTAGATTTGAAGACAGTGGGTGTATGTGGTCTCATCTCCCCCGGCGGAGGGACGGCGTTGGACTGCAGGAGTTTCTCACCGCGCACACGAAGCAGGTGTCGTGCCAGGTATGACCGAGAGCCTCGATGAATTTATCTCCGGCTTCCACGGGGAAGTCACAGCCGTGACACTTGGTGCTGAACAGCGCCACATAATCTGAGAGCAGATCGAGCGGCGTTGTTAGCGACCCGCTCGCGTCGTTATAGCACAGAAGTCACGCGCAAGAGGGACGGCGGCGCACCTTTCTCGCAGTACGGCTCCCCGTCCTCCATATGGAAGAGGCTGTTACCGAAGGGTTTGCCGCAGGCGGCGCACACAAAGCAAGTGGTGTGCCACGTCTGCCTCAGAGCGTGCATCACTTCCTGCCACGCGATGGTGGGGCACAATAAGTGGTTAGTTCAGGTGTTTGTAATTGTGCACGCACATGTAACTAACTATGTAGCACAATCTGTATGTCTCAGTTGTTCCCCCCCCCCCCAAAGCGCCATTGTTAACCACGTAGAACTCAAAAGGACTGGCCGATGCTTTTGACGCCTTACCCCCATGATCTTGGTGCTGCAGCGTGCGCAGGTGGGGGCAAAGAACTCCTCGTAGCAGTTCTCGCAGTAAACGCTGTTCTGCTCCTCCACAAAGCTGACGTCGGCCAGCGACATGTTGCAGTAGTGGCAGTTGAACTCCTCGGGGTGCCACGAGCGGCCCAGCGCCACCAGGAAGGGACCCCTGCGACCGGAAACACTCACGTCATTTGCGGGCTTTGACAAGCCGGCGGAAAAGCAGGGTGGTACATCTCGAGAAGATGCAGAGAGAAAGGTCGGGACGGCTTTTGGCGGTGGCGGAAGTTCACGGATAATTTGGGTACGGTGAGCGCCGAGTGTTTTTAAAAATGGAGACCATCTACGGCGGAGTCAAAAAGCTTACAGAATGGCAAAAGGGAAAGTCGAAATTGGTGGGCACGTGGACATCTGGTGCATTTTTGTTTCTGTATGAAATGATGTAAGGCTTTTATTTTGAAAGGTAATGTAAGAACAGTTTGAAATGATGTAAAAGTGTTTCAGGATCATAGTTTGGAGTATTAAAAAAAAAATCTGATTAACAGTTCAAATCACGAGCGAACGTGGTCAAGTCATTTCAAGATGAAGTTAAAAAAAAAGTGTATGCAAAATATGAAAAACGTTTAATATATTATAGAGCGAACACATTTTTGATCGTAAATTAATAGATTTGTATTTTGACTGTTCATTTACTGAATAGAGTCGCTGTTGGGTGGAAACTGTACGCCCAAATATGGTCAATTTCACATTTTGTTACAAATTGATGGTATTGGTCAGTGGTCAACTATTCAAACAAATGATGAACCAATCTTCATCTTAAATTGAACTCTTTTGGACCCTTTAAGTGACTAAGCATCATCGAACGCCTCAGGACTGAAATTCTGGATGTGTTTCAGACAGTAACAAGAGATCAAAGTGAGCTTAGATACATTTGAGGAGGCCTCATTTAAAATACCCGTTACGAATTTTCGCAATTGGTGGCGGAATTTGGTCCCGAACGTTCACCATGTCTGCTGTCTTTTTTTTTCATTCATGGAGAGGACGGCGCAGCGTTACCTGATGATGCTGTTGCAGGCTCCACACAAGGGCGTGCGGCTGCTGGCGGCAAACCTCTCGGCCCGTTGCGCCACACCCCTGGCCACGGGGGAGAAGGGGGCGGGGCTAGGAGTGACATGGGCATGGCTGGAGGTGGCGGCCGAGGGGTTGGGGATGTACTGGGGCGGCGGGGGCGCAGCCTGAGGCAACGGAGGTGGCTTGATGACCGCGGTGGTGGTCTTGCTCGGGTCAAACTTGTTGGCGAAGGAGCTGTCGGTCACCCACGGGGGGCGGTTGCCACCCGCGCCGCCTGCCGCCTGTGGCGGAGCGGCAGAGGCGCGGTGGGGGTGAGCTTGGGGCATGTGGGGGGGAGCAGCTGAAAGAGACAGGAAGTGTTCGTCGGGTAACAAACCAAACGCGGCAAGTCTGGCAGTTCATGTCACGCGACAAATGGGGGTCACTTCCGCGACAATCTCATCTTTGGGAACGTTGTCACGTCTGGGGTGACTTTGGCAACATTTGGAGAACATTTTGAGTCCAACAACAAAAAAACAACACCCATTTGACCACCACCCACCAGGGACAGTCATTTGGGGAACTATCAGCCAATCACCTCAAGAACCAAGCAGTCAAGTGACCAAGCTACCACACCAAATAACCCTTTGATGTCATTTAAAATCTGTTTTTCAAAACGAAAAACACAAAAGCCCGAATACCATACATGGCAATGGCGAGTGATGAAAAAAGCGGAAGGGGCGTGGCCTGGACGGGGCGTGGCCGTGACGGGGGCGTGGTTACTTACAAAAGTGGCACTAAACATGCTGAAGATGAAGTGTATTAAATTTACACAGTTTGAAAATTGAACAGAAAAAAATCCCAAGATCGCCACTATTCTTTCAAGTGAAAATTTGTGCAATTGTGCCTATGCATTCCTGGTGAGCACCAATATGTAACTCCAAATTTGCTGCTCAAAATCAAAACCAAAAAAGTAAACACA